AATAACAGTAAGTGGTTTCCAAAGTGTATTGAGGGTTTTTTATGTGCCAAACCCTGTTCTTAGATCTCTATATGTGTTCATTCATTCGTTCATTCACCTCACATAGAGATAAGAGACTATTCCAAATTATTTATCTAGGTGGGTAGAACTGGCATTAGAACTATCTTTTGGCTTCTTAATTCATGCTTTGTTATGCAGACCCCACCCCCTATTTGAATGTGATTTCCTTAATATCTGCATGGGTTATCATTTGTAAAATGCACTAATATATGTAAGTGATTTTATTTCATCTTCATAGTGCTCTATGAAACAGTGTTTTACAGATGAGTAAACTGAAATCCGGAGAGGTCTATTTGAGTGTACCACATGTGGGAAGCGATGAGTCTGGACTCAAATTCTACTCTTTCCTCCAAATTCTGTTTATTTTCACCATGCCATTATTTTCAGCGAGCATAGGAAAGTGAATACTGAGTTTCTTGAAGTGGTTGAAGTACTTTTTTTTCCCCTTTCATTTAAAGCAAATCTGGCATACATGTATATGAAATATTTATTTATACTTCTTTTGGCTTAGCTATTTTTTTTACTCATCTTTGTGGCTAATGTTTTGATGTGTCTTCCTCAGGGAGGTTTTACTTACTCAATGCCCTGCTTAAGGACTAGGTCAATTTTTCCACTTATTATTTGAAACCCTCAGAAGATCAGGTGATTGTTTTTACACTAAACATTCATAAGCCTTTATTTGTGGTTGTATGTTGAAAAAAATCAGAGAACAAAATTAAATTTTTATCAAACCTGACAAAATATGATTCATAGGTGAAAAATTATGTGGAAAATGAAAAATGGTTAAAGAATAAGAGTAGTTAGCAGCATAATCTGATGAGACTGAAGAAAATACATTTTATTTATAGGTGAGATACCCCTCCTATTATGAGTCTTAATCCGGTTAATCTTTTTAATATAATAACTGTATGATTTTCAACCATATCTCTCTTTGACAAGATTTGCAAGCTCAGATAGAGCTTAACTTTTCACAGGAGTCAGAGGCTTAGGGTTAAAGTTCAACCTCCAACTTTAAACCTTTATGGTTTTGAGTTGCAGTGTGTTTTTCTTAAGGTCTTGTGTGTATGTTTTCTTTCCTTGCTAGAGCTCTGGAAAGGGGTGTAGTCCTCACGGAAGGGTCTTCATGTCCTCCTACCAGGTGGGGAAGCTTGGGTTTTGCACTCTCTTGGCTTCTGTGCGGCATTTGTGAGTAGCCTGACATGTTTGACACCAGTGTGACAGCAAAGAAGTGTGTGAGCTGAGCAGTGTGAGGTAGGGTCCAGCTGTGCAGATTTTATCTGTACATCAGGCCAAGGAGCAGCAGTTAGCCAGATCTGACAGTCAAACACGAGCACCTTCTACCTCCACTCCAGAGTGCATTTTAATGTGTGTGTTTACCGACTAGTTGGCATTTGACACAAAAGTTGTCAGAGCTGGGTATTTTTTTTCCCCCTTCACTCTTTAGTGTGTTGGTCTATGGTAGTTTCCCCCAGTATACCTTATTGCATATCACAAAAAGATACATTTTCTAAAACAAAGTAAAGAATCATGGCGTCTGCATTTTTTTACTGAATTTTACGTTAAGAATTAGTAGGTAATATGTTTGAGTTAATAATAGGTAATGTGTTGAATAGGTAATAAGTTTACATAGTTCAAAAATCAAAATAGTACACCTGGAATGTTTTGAATAGCCTTGTTTCACCCATGTCTCATTCTAGTCATTCATTTCTCACCTCTGCCTCATAGGTAACCACGTTAATAGTTTGTCACATATCCTTTATGTTTCTCTATGCACATATAAGCAGATATTCTGTCTCTTGTCTTTTACTTCCTGAGATACTCTGTAGAGCTCCTTATTTCTCTAACAGGGAAGCTTCCTCATTCTTGTTTACTGTTGCATTGTATCTCATTGTGTGGATGTTCCATGGTTTATTTAACCATGTTCTGTGGATGGACACTTGGATTGTTTCTAATCTTTTTGTTTAGTTGAGATAAAATTTACATACCAAAAAATTACATACCAAAATACTCATTCTTTTAAAGTGTACATTTAAGTGGGTTTACTATGTTTCCAAGCTTTTGTTCTGCAAATAGTGATCCAGTGGGTAAACTTGTACATATGTTCTTCTGAACATGGTGCAAGTATATCCATAGAAAAAATCCGCAGAAGTAGGAATTGTCAATTGCTGCCCATTGGTATTGTAGTAATTTGCACTCTTGAGCATGAGAGGACTTTTTCTCCGTAGTTGAGCTCAGAGTGACTTTGCCTTTTTATAAAGCAATTTTAATTCTTAAGAAATATGTGAAGTTCATGAACTACCAGTTTAATCTAATATTAATTCCTGATTGATTTCACCAAGGTAGAGATGACCAAAAGTTCTTTTTAAGTTCGTAAATATATTGTTTATAATTGATCTCATTAGTTAATTGGTAAAATTATAGGCTGTGAATATTGATACACAGAACAGATTACAGATATATGGATCCCCATTCTTTCCTGCCATATAGATATAATGATGTTCACAGTATCAAAATTAAAATTTGCAGTGGAAAGAGACCATTTATATTCTCCTTGCTCTGTAGTAGGAACATTCCTGTAGAATTTTATCCTTTTGATACAGCCTTCCGAGTTACAATGTTTTATGCCTGTCTGATACACTGGACTTCAACTGAGCTGGGAAGTAGGTTGTTTTTATAATGATGTAGTTTAAGTTTTAATTATAAATAGAATTTCAGACTCCATTGATGCCTGTTGATCTATGGAACAGATCTATTGCTGTTTAATCTCATTAAGGTAGAGTATTTAATTCCTTAGAGGTGTTGACCTTTGTGCTCCTTGTTATACACAGATTAGCTTTATAGACTTGCCTGAAGAGGTCTTCAGGTGGTTTGTATGTATGTATGTATGTGTTTTAAGGTGGTATTTATAAGGTGGAGCCATTTCAAGGTTTGAGTTTTCATGTGCGTTTGAATTATTCAAGGATTTTAATAATGCGTTAAATTTTGTCTGGGGGCATTTAAGTATCCTGTCTATAAAAAGGCCTGGCAAAAGATTCATAGGAAAATAGAGGCTTTCCTGAGGTCAAAGTGACAATTGCGGTATAGATTTTTATTAAATTTGTGAAGTGCATAAATGTGTAAGTATATGCATGGAAATATCATTAGTTCTTTCTATTCCCCAAGTAATAGCTAATGTTGAAAACAGATAAGCCACTTAACCGATGATTTATCTAAACTAATGGTTTTTGTTAGTATTCTAGGTTCTTCATAAAGGTAAATTGTTCATAGTTTAACTGGTAAGCCAGTCTTACCATTGTAGATGAGAAAATATCTTGGGTCCAAGCAGAAAGCTTTCATTAAGTAAATAGACCAGAATTTTGTATGAGTCAACTCGAGTGTTTTGCCTCTGTAAGATCAACTGGTTGCTATATTTCTACTCCTTTTTTCTTTATTTACCTTGGATAATTTGCAGAGAGATACAGAAAGATTTAAGTTCTGCCCAAAAGGTGTTTTCTCTGGACTACTCTGATGGGTCTGTGAAAGAAAGCGTAGGGGAGGGTGATAGGGTCACTGTGTCTGGTTGAGCAGGTTGTTGACTGCATAAAGACAGTGTCCATTGGAGCAGGTGGGGGCTAAATTCCAGTTTGTGTTCATCAAGCCATGCCCCAGGGAATAAGGCTGCAATGACCCAGAGCAAGGTGTACCATTTTGTAATTCCTACAAAGGTGCTGATAACAGCCTGAATATGCATCTTATTATAGTTTTATTTGAAAATCAGTTGTTTGAGCCTTTTCTGTTTTTTTTTTTCCTTTGAGAAATTTTCTGTAGTATATAGATAATTCTTATGTGAGTGTGTGTGTATATACACACACATATAATGCCATTTTTATGCCATGTGGTCTCTTTCTCTCTGTCGCATGCGCGTATACACACACACACATACACACACCATATATGTTAGGTATTCTTTGGAAAAAAAATCCTTCAGGAGGACATCACCTTATATGTATTCGATTCTTTATGAAATACCCTATTATATGGGGTCCTCTCTTAGTTACTTTGTTTGAACGGCATGGTACTGTTTGCGAAGACATAGAAATGGCCTCAGACAGTGCTGGCTGTGGATGCTTAAAAATGTTTCTTTATAAAATTGGAAAAGAAGCGAAGATGCTTAACACGGATTTAGTACTTATTCTAGAAATGAATGATCACTTTAAAAAAAAAGTAATACGGGGGCGCCTGGGTGGCTCAGTTGGTTAAGCGACTGCCTTCGGCGGAGGTCATGATCCTGGGGATCGAGTCCCGCATCGGGCTCCCTGCTCGGCGAGGAGCCTGCTTCTCCCTCTGGCCCTCCCCCCTCTCATGTACTCTCTCTCTCTCATTCTCGCTCTCTCAAATAAACAAATAAATCTTTAAAAAAAAATAAATAAAAATAAAAAAAGTAATACGTAAGTGGATACTGTATCAAATAATTGTTTATAGGATGAATAAATCTTCCAAATATCCTGACATTCTGTAAATGGTACTGTGGTTTGATTTGCTATTTCTAGTGTTTGTGTGATAGAAGGATTCAGAAGCTGCTGTGTCTCAAGCACATTACACAGACAGGAAGGTTTGCTCTGGAAAACTGTATAGGGATCTCAAAAAGCGAGTCTAGTGAGGAAAAAGACCATGGTGTTAAAGAAACGTCAAGATTGGTGAATCAAATTGTTTCATGGAATATGTGAGTGAATAAAATCATTATTTCTAAATTAATGCTTTATGCAATGTGTAATTTAAATGTATGTAATTAAATTAATACATTTTATAATAGGCATTTGGCTAATTCCTGTCTCTAAAAGTTTCTACATTCAGGTTGGCTAAGTTTTGCTTGGTATTGTCTTACTGGAAAAATAAGGGATTGTCTTATATTCTGATCACTTTATATTCAGTCACCTATAATCATTATTATTTCTAAACAGAAACTGAGGCTTCTTGAAGAGCTCGAAGATACTTGGCTTCCTTATCTGACCCCCAAGGATGATGAATTCTATCAGCAGGTAAGATCTTTTCGTATTTTTATCAATTTGTATTGATTTGTTCTGATCTAAGAAGCAGCTGTGGTCTGGAGAGGTTAAATGAGAAGTGAAATGGTCTGACTTGGTCATCCAGTGACTCCTCATCACCCACAGAAACATCTCAGTTCCTTCACGATCTGCTTTCTGTTGTGAACCTAGGGCTTTGGCACAGTGGACTGCTTTCTTCGTCCCCAAACATTCCATGCTTTCTTCTACTTCCTTGCCTCTGCTCCTTCTGGTTCTTCTGCATAGAATATCCTTTTGCCTCTTACCTTGTTGCCAGATGGCTAATTCTTCAAGACTTCACTTAAACATCACCTTCTTTGTGAAAGTTTCCTTGATTTACTTTACCTGAAAGTGACTTGACCATACCCTGTTCTATGCTACTTGTACCTTATAAATACCTCTATCATGCCTATCACATTGTATTGCAGTTATGGGATTCCATGTCTCTTTCCCTGAAGTAGTCAGTACTCTTTCAATTATAAGTGATAAAAACCCCAACAGACTCATTATAGCAAAAGAGGAATTTATTTGAAGATTTTTTATTTATTTGACAGAGGCAGAGACAGCGAGAGAGGGAACACAAGCAGGGGGAGTGGGAGAGGGAGAGCAGGCTTCCCACTGAGCAGGGAGCCCGATGCGGGGCTCGATCCCAGGATCCTGGGATCATGACCTGAGCCGAAGGCAGACGCTTAACGACTGAGCCACCCAGGCGCCCAAAAGAGGAATTTACTGACTTTCTTAACTTAGATGTCTAGGAGTACATGGCTGAATCTAACTTCTCAAAAGGTGTCATCTGATCCCTGTTTTTCTCTGTGTCGTGTTGGCTCTCCTCTGTGTGACTTCATGCTGGCTAGGCTCTGACCTGCTAACGTACATAGGAGGAGTCTGACAGCCCAAGGAGTATGTGGTCTTAAGCACATGGGATTTTAGAAGAAGGTAGCCATTTCTTTTTTTCTGGTTCCATCTGATTTCCCTGGGAGTGATCTTGTTGGCCTGGTTTGAGTCCTGTGCCTATTCCTGAACCAGTCATTGTGTTCAGGGGCGTGAGAGGCTGCCGTTTGCCCAGCCTCGTTCATGCACCCACTCGTGGAGTTGGGTTCAAATATGACCATTTCCACTCCAACTGCATGGACTGTGAGCTGGAGATGGATGGTTTCCCCACAGGAAAATTGGAGTCCTGTTCCCAAAGAAGGAGGGGAAGGCATTTTGGGCAGGCACTAATAATACGTGTTCATCTGTTCTTTCCTACCAGAATGTAGGCTCTTGGGGATAAGAATTGGGCCCCCTCATCTTGGTTTCTCTGGGACCTCGCATGCAAATGTATATGGCTGATTCTCAGTAACTGCTGAAGGGAGACAGGAAAGATGTTTACCCATCTAGCGTCCAGGTCCCTTGACTTCCAGTTCGCTCTCAGTTCCAGGATGTTATCTGTCATCTCCATTCTCATTAGATCTTCACTGTCTTTCACCAGATCAGTCCTTTTATGGATTGCTCTAGTTTCTTCTCTTTGTCCCTCTTTCTTAATCCTTAGAGCTATAGCACATTTTCTAACCAAGACATAAATCTGAGCATGTCAGCCCCCTGCTTCAAACCCGGCAGTGGCTGCTCATTGCCTGGCTCTTGCCTTCCTAGTCTTATCTCTCCAACTCTTTCATCTTGTTACCTGCCCTGGACTTCGGCAGGACCTCAGACTAGCCAGACAATCTCATATTTTGGCCCTTCTTGCTACATCCTCTGCTGCCCTGCCTCCTCCCTTTCCTTGGTGAACTCCTGTTACCTGTTAGCCAATGTGTCATCTCTTGTAGGATGCTCCCTGACACCTCCGCAGCGCAGAGGCTTGTTTCTGCTGCCTCTTGTGTGCACCCGTAGTACTTTATATGTACCTTTATTATCTCCGTGATTTTATTTTTATGCTTGTCTCCCCCATCCTCTGTACTTTGTATAGCGCCTGGCACCTAGTAGGTGTTTAATTAATTTGCTTGGATGGATGAGTGAATTAATGCATGCATTAGTTAATTTTAAAAGCAAGTTATATAATAATGTTTAGTATGCTTTTAATTTTGTTTTTATACACATACACTTCTCCCCAGGGAGGTGGCATCGGGAAAGGTGTGCAGGGTATATACAGAAATCTCACATGCCAGCATGGTAGGGTTTTCTAGTTTTACAAATTGTCTTAAATGAACATATATTCTTTGGTAATCAGAAAAAAAAAAAATTATCCAAAGGACCCTTAAAACAAACCCACAAAATACGATCAGTTCTTAAATCCTTATTACTGTTTTTATAGATAGAAGCCATCTGGTACATGATTACACACACTGTTCTAAAGCAGCTTCTGAGCCTTCGGCTTTGGTGTGGTGCAAGTAGTAGTAGAACATGAAGAATTAAACACAGAGGTTATCAGCCGCTGTGCTCAGAGCCAGCCCTACACCTGGGGATAAAAGGAAACTCAAAGGCAAACAACAACTATCAAGGCTGCTCTTTTATCTTTCCAAGACCCACAACAAGTCTGATACCAATATCTAATCACCTTAAGTGCACCTTATCATAAGGGTTAGTGCTTCAACATACCCTTAAGTAAAGGAAATCTATTCTCTTAAAAGACGAAGGGAAAATACTTTTTTAATGACGTGAATAAATAGAAAGTTCAGACCCAATGTGGGGTCCTTTCAACAGGCCCTGGCCACAGGAATGCCAGTCCAGCTGCTAGTCACAAAAGCAAGACTTTTTGCAGCTTCCCTGTTGGGTATGTGTGTTTACCCTTACAGTGGGTGCCGTTCAGTCCTCACAGCTCCTTCGTGCATTTATGCCACAAATGTGCATTCACTGACTGCTCTTCTTCAAGCTTGCAGTGTTTGAGGTAGGTATTATCTTCCTCTTCTAGGAATTTCTCTTTAGATCCACACTAAGCTCCGTATCTGAGCAGCAGAGGTGGTTCAAGCCCACATTTATCTGACTCGGAAGGCCCCTGCTCTTTCTGCTCTGTTGTGCGCCTCCCAGAATACTGTACTCAAATTCAAAACACCTTCAGAGATGTTTTTTGGTTTCATCTGGTAAGACCATAGAGAAAAGAAATAAAACAACAACAACAAATCCGAAGTAGAAAAGTGGAGAGAACTTCTGTAGGTTCACCAGAGAGCACAAGGAAATGAGGAACTACCTAGTCCAGAACAAACCCTGGCTTCCAGATCTCTGAGTGCTACCTCTTGTGTCCAGAGAAAATACCTCTCTCCTCAGTACACCCCCTTGCTTTCCATTACCGTGTACTTTCCACTCTGCTTGCTCATCTCCTTGCTTTACGTGTATTTGCTCATTTACATCTTACCACAGCCCTCTGAGGCAGGAGGTTTTTGAAAATCCCGTTTTAGAGATGAGAAAACTGAGGCACAGAGGGGTTTAAAATTTTGTTCAAGGCTTTTAGAAAGCGAGAAGTGTTAAGACCCGGGTTTGAGCCCAGGCGGTCTGATTCCTGGATCTGACTCTGAGCATCATCCTACTGTATCTCTTGGTGCTTCTGGGATTGCTCTGCTTTCATCCCCACGATCCTACACCTCTCTCTTGATCCCTGCCCTCCCCTGTGACCTCCAGGGCTCCAGTTCCAACTACCTGCTGGGGGGCTGTGCCTGGAAGTCTTGCAGGGGCATCTAACCCAACACAATCCATATTCATTCATTACTGACTTCATTGAACACGGATACTTAGCTTCCCCGCCCTGTGCAGGTAATGTTCTAGGCATTAGAGGTGACATAGTGAAAACCAAGAGAAGATTCCTCCTTCTTTGAGTTTATTTTCTTATGAGGTGGGACAGGGGGAGGGAGCAGAAATAAAAAGAAAGCCAGAAAATGAATGTTGGAAGGGCAAACAGGTATGGAGATGAAGTAGGTCAGAGGGCACCATAGGGTGGGGGATTGCAACTTAGGGTGGTTGTGGAAGACCTTCTCATAGTGACGTTTGAACCAACCCCTTATGGAGGTGTGGGAGCAAGCTATGTAGATACTCGTAGGAAGAATGTTCTGGACATAGGGAAGAGCAGGGCCCCTGAGGTGTATCTGAGGAGAAGCACGTGAGGCGCGAAGTGAGAGAGTTGAGAACGGAAGGGATGAGATTAGAAAGCCATGGCCCGATGATATGGGAACTTGCCGGCTGTGCCAGGCATGTCGGCGGTGACTCTCAATGACACGAGAAGCCGTGAGAGGGTTTGGAGTGCAAGTGTGGCAAGCTCTGAGTCACATTTTGGTAAGGATCCGTTTTACAGGGAACCTGCTGTTCATTCTCTTCTCTAGTGGCCACCCTCCTGGTGCTCTCCACCAAATCCGAAATTGTGCTGTCCTCCCCTTCTACCCATGGCTTCAGTCCCTCATTCAGGCGCTGGGCCCTGGCAGGTCTGCCTCTTCATAACCCCTCAGGGTGTTTCTTCTTTTCATTCAGGCCCTCATTTATCATCTCAGACCGGCACAGTTTTCCTATTCTCCTCCCTGGTGTTCCTTGTGCCCTCGTCAGTACCATCAATATTGTGTTCCTCTCAATATGTCTGACTTGTCACTCCTTGCTTTCTAAATTTTGTTCAGTCTCTCTTGCCTGTAAGGTAGAGTTCACCCTCCTCAACATGTCCTCTAAGGCCACTGACCGTATGACCCCAGATTACCTCTCTGTCTCATCTCTACCCATTGCCTAACATGGAGTCCAGCCATAGACTCCATCATGCAGAGTCTCTTGCTACACCCTGGCTCCGCTGTGACCTTTCATCCTTCCCTGCCTTTGTGCCTGTTATTCCCCGGGGTGTTGAGTGCTTTTCTGTCTGGCGAGCATCTACTCACCCTTGAAGACCTTGCTGAAATAGGACCTCTTCTTTTTTTTTTTTTTTTTAAAGATTTTATTTATTTACTTGACAGAGAGAGAAGAGCAGGGGGAGGGGGAGAAACAGGCTCTCCGTGAGCCTGATTTGGGACTTGATCCCAGGACCCTGGGATCAT